TTTCCCTATTCTGATTGTAGGGGAGTGTAGAAAAGGGTCGAATATCTAAATGTGTTATTAGAACTGCAGAAAAAGTAGAGAGCATTTAGGTCATTAGACCTTAACATCAATATGCAACATCACTGGTATTTTGTCAAGGTCATTTTCACAATTTTCTAGCTACCTTAAGAAAAAAGAAAGTAAGCGTTATTCTATATAGAGTAAGTTTGTTCAGTTTTCAAGCTCTGAAGTCTAAATATCTTCTGTTCATACCAAGTCTTCTGTGGAGCTGTGAGTAAATGATTGTAGCTCAGGAGCAGCAGTAGCGAGCACAGGTTGCTGGAGAATTGCTTAGATGCGCATGCACTTTTTTGCCCGTGGGGAAGGAAGAAAGCAGAGACTCATTTCTTTGATGTTTTAAACTCAAAGGCCCCCAAGAACAGCTTAATGCTTTGTGTAGTTTTTAAAAAAACACCCAAAACACAATCAAACAAAAAACCCCCTCTGCAGCTGGTTCCACTCCCTAACTTTCCAGTAGTGAGTGGCTCCATCTTTACATGAAAAAGCAGTTGGACGTTGCCCATGAATTGCATTTAGTTTTCCTAAAACCCGCAAATAAATGGAATGGCATGTGCTTGAGAAGCCTTTGATACAGAGGAAACACCGTATCAGTCTCTTAGAAAACTTTACATATGTATGTTATTCTTGGAAGCTTTGAGACTTCGTTATCCGTGTATTCACTGTGAATTTTATTTGAATTGTAAGGTTCTCTGTGTGTCTGCATACACATTCGTAGGCATATGGATATGCATACAGATGTACACATTGAAACGTGATGCTTGTTAGTAGATATTTTCTGTATGATGGACATATGTAACGGTAAGTATATGTGTGAAGGAAATCTTGCTTGTTAGTGTTGAAATAAATGGTTTTCTTCTTAAACAGTCCTTTGTTTTTTTTAGCAGGAAGCAAATTAACTTGTCTATCTACGTGCAAAATTTGATATACTATACGCATTATTTACCATTTGCCACCAGAGCTGGCCCGCTCCATGCCCAATTAGCTGCTGTAAGAATGATGTATGATTGGGCTCATTTTTCCCTGTGGCAGTGAATTATTAATTTGTGTATAACTGGGAAGTGATAACTTAAATGTATGGTTGTTATCCTGTAGAGGAGACTGTTCAGGCTGCCGAGAGTTTACAGCCAGAGAATATATATATCCTTTTGTGAAAATAGGGACATTCATTATACCTTTTTTCTAATGTAATTTTAAACAGATACAGGGTGTTTTTAAAAGTTCTTTTTTTTGTTAAAGTCCATTAAAATGCTTCTTTCCTTTCATTGTACAACTGATCATCACTGGCTGCTTTTACCCATTGCCCCAAGGCTCTTTTATCTCCAGGAC